CTGCGACCTAACAAGCTCTACACTGTACAAACTAATAAACCAACCATCGTAAGCAAGCGTCTTCACCGAGCTCGCATCTTTCTGCCAACCTTCCCTTAACTCAAACATCGCATTGAATATCCCAGACGGGATCTTGCCCGAAAGCGACATGTCCTGATTGAACTTCTCCGACATCTACACAATCACCAAAATCAAAATAAGAGTCGAGACTATAAAAGACAAAGTCGCTTATATCTAAAGTTGGAAGAGAAACTATATATAAATAAATTTTTTTTTATCACCAATTGGTTTTAAGTTGGAAACTCGTACAATAAAGACGGAATAAAACCTGGTTAAAAGAGAGTATATCGGAGCGGAAACGAGTACGTTCGCCTTTATCACACTTAATCGAGCTCGAGACGTTACTGACAACGACCCCACCCGGGAAAACCAGGTCTCTGTTCCGGTTCGGGTCGATTTCAACAAGTCTTGACCCGTCTTGTGTGGACTTACAAGCGGAGAGACGAACATCGGAGCAGAGGTCGTAGCCTAGCCCGATCACCGATACTGCTTTCTCGGCAGCGGATTGAGCGTCAAGGCGTGAGATGTTGAACGCCATAGAGGAGAAAGAAAGTTCAAAAGATTGTGGCTAGTGGAGAAGAAGAAGAAGAGGAGGCAAGGCATTGAAGTAGTCAACGGGTTTAAGCTGTTTTGTAGTAGTAATATTTAGTCAACACGTCATTACTTTGACTTTGCGGTTAAAAGGTTTGAATCCTTCGCATCAAAAGTGTGAAATGGGAATTATTTATTTGTTGAAAGGGAGGATTTTTGTTTTTTACTTTTGATTTTTTTGGAGTTGTTTTGACCGTTGTTTAATAGTAGCAACTATGCTCGTTTTATTTTCTTTTTGTAAGGTAGATGGTATTTGACTAGCTTTATATGATTTTCTATAACCCAACGAAACTGATGGTATTATCAGCCTATGTCATTCATTAGTTTGTTAAACTAATGTGTGTACTTTTTCTAAACTTCATACAAATGTGTTAGTTGGTTTGATTAATTATGAGAGCTTCAGTTCAGAATTTATAATATGCATACATACAATCTACTATGTAGTTTCAAAAAACAATTTAGACTATTTTCAAAAAATATTAATGATATGTTTAACAAATTAATAAAATAATTTAAAAAGTTAATAACTGTGTTTGATGCTTTTTTGAAAAATTATATCTTATAATTTAGTAAAATATAAAAAAAATAAAAATTTATCATAATTTATCTATTTTTAATTGTTTTTTTTCTTAACTTTTACTTATATTTATATTTGAGGTTCTATTTGATCGTTCCCTTTGTACATGCTCTATAACCTACAAATTTCAGGCTGGTTTTTAGATATTGCAAGTAAAGTAAATATTCATGTCATCTAAAATATATGCAGTTGTTAACTTGTTATCATGGTTGAAATATGTATATGAAGATGTTTAACAAACCCAATCATTATGATAAATCTTCAAATGATTGATTGGGTTGTAGGAGCAGTTTAAACTGCTTTAAGTTTTTTTTTTTTTTTTTTTTACTGCTTTAAATTTTGCCTATGATTTTTAACATTACTAACCATGTTTTATATTTTTGAAGCTAAACCAAAAAAAGTTGGTGGTAGAAACCTTATTTACTAAAATTTGACCTTTTAGTTATAGAAAACAAATATAGTTGTATAAATAACCTTTCTTCCACCTTCTTTTTTCATTTATTTTATATTTACAACACATATAACTGTAACGGATATGTCTACGTCTCAAATTTTACAACAAATAATTTACATCTACAACTCAACAAAACATCCTATTAGTCTAAACTAATTACCTCATATTTGGATTGAAACTATTTTTTAGGAAATTCACCATTCAAACACCACTTCCTCTATTAACAATAGCTACATCTTTATATTCTAATTTACAGTATCTGTTTATATCCTTAAATCAGAATTTCAGATGGTTCCTAGTACTTTATTTTATTTATAGATTAGAGACTAAAATATATTATATTTAAGAATTACTAGATGATAATCTGCGCCATGCGCGGAGTAAATTTTTTTAAGAAAAATATTTTGTATTCAAATACATATTTTGCTATCAATAACATTTTTTCATTTGATTAGGGATGGCTATTTGGGTACTATTTGGTTCGGTTAGATTCTTTTTGGTTTAGATCTTTTCGGTTTGATTCGAATCTTTGCAGGTTTGGATAACCCTTCTTTAAAAAAAAAAAGAAGATTAAAACTCATATATACTTTAAATTTTTCAAAATCTAAAAGTAGAAATAATATATAACATATAAATTTCAAAAGTGAATGTCAAAATACTTAAACTTAGCATAAAATTGGTTTATCTTAAATATTTAGACAAAAAATCAATAAATATTTCAAATATTTTTGGTATTTAGAGTATCATTTAGCGAATTTAAAATGTACATTTAACTATTTTATATATTTCTAAGTATTTTGAAATTTTTTTTAAAAATCTCATGTATTTTGTATATTCTTAGATGTTAAAGTTAAAAATAATTGATATATTTAAGTATATAAATCTGGTTCGAGTACACTCGGATACTCAAAATATTTTGATTCAGTTTTGGTTCTCTAGATACCAAAATTTTGAATCGTTTGGATATCTAACCAATTTTGAATTGATGGTTCATATTAATTTTGGGTATGCAATAATTTATAAAAAAACACACTTTATTATGCATGATCCATTTAGTTAATCATTATAACTTGTTTAAGACCCATGAGAAAAATGATTGGCAGAACTAAAAAATGTTATCATTGATCACAAAATTTTCATTGTGAGATTTTTTTAGCATTTTTAGTAATTTATGATCGTTTTAAAAAATTTAAAATATAACATAGAAGAAAAAATCTAAAAAAAATTCTTATATGATTAATGTGATTTTTTAATTTATTTTAATAATATAAAATTAAATAAAAAGTAAAGAGGATATAAAATTGTTATCAAATATTTATTATTCATAAACATTAATTGGGATATATATGTTAATCAGATTAGGTAATTCTGTAACTTTTATATACAGAGAGAATAAGAAATATTCTTTTGTACACTACTAACTAAATATGATAGTTAGTATAATAAAAATATAACATACGTTTAGTTGGACCAATATATTTCTCTAAGAGTTATGAAAATCATTCTCATTTTGACATCTGACTACAAAAAAATGTTGTAATGCTCCCTGATTTATATATAGGAGATTTAAACTACTAATCAAAAATATTATATGTGAAATTTTAAATGTTTTATTAAATTATAGTCATTTTTAAAATTTCAAAATATAACATATATAAAAAAATCTATTTTTTCTTTTATAGTTAAGGTTATTGTTTGATTTATTTTGACACTATAAATTTAACAAAAATAGTAGAGATTATAAATTTTTTTATCAAATCTTCATATTCGAATCATTAATTATCATATATATATAATAACTATATTAGGTAATTGCGTAAATTTTATTTAATAAAATAAGGAATAGTATTAATAATAGTTATGTTTAGTTTAATAAAAAATATATTATATGTTTATATAGATCAACATTTTTTTCTACTAAATTTGAGAAGCATTCTCATGATGGCATTGTAATGTTTCTTAATGAATATATAGGAGATTTGCAATATGCATGAAACTTGTATTTATAATTGAATGAAGAGAGTGTGAGTTAAAGTAGATGTCGCAAATATAACTTTAGCAACATATGGATGTGCACTTAATAAGTTACACCTTTCCTTTTGGTAAAACAGTCAAGTTATTTAGCACTTAAATGTGTAAGGCGTCCACGACAAAACATCAGAATGAAATGCCGCTAATTCTTATGAGTGGCCGTGTATGTGAATATGAGCCAAAACATACTCCTAGCTACATTTTTTGCCAAAATTTGGGGCATACTCCTAGCTTTGCAAGACTTTTCCAAAGTGCAAGGCTACGACGCAGAGAGAGGAGCCCTTCATCCTTGATTTAATACTTTATTTTATTTAAGATTTTGTCATAGGTACATTCATTTTGTCTTGTATACTTGGGTGTCAACACACCAATACACCATAGTTGGTAGCTTGATATATATAGAAAATTGCAACTTGCTAAAGAATCAACAATGACGGAAATTGCACTTTTCACACGCTATTCGTCACATGTATGGAACACAGTAAGGACGTTAGACTAAATATAGGGCTTGACATATTTATCTAATTTATGATCTGGATTCCAAATCCAATTTTATTTTTGAAACGATTAAAAACAAGAAAACACACAAGATTTGTAGTGTTTTATAACTTTTATTTTTAGTATAAGGGGTGTACAAAAACTTTTAGTTATGTATGTATGCAATCAAACACTTGTTATAAAGATTAAACTTTTAATGACATTAATGACAATAATTTGTCTGCATGAATTTATCAATGTAAAATGCTTTTGTTACATCTTTATAATTAACACCTAAAAATAAGACACAACGAAAAACTCACCAGTCCAAGTGATCTTTTGAATTCTTACTTATAGATTATTTGAAAATTGTTGTAAGACATGCAATTTTGTTGGGGTTTGTCTCTCCCCATCCGTTTTTTGAAGTCGTTATAAGTGGTCATAGGATTAAATTCTACAGTTTTTGGTCTTAAAACATTTCCTGTGATGCTGTGTTAATTAGTTTTCTTCATTGCTCCCTATAATTTTACAGGAAAGTTTCTTGAGCACAACTGTTAGTCTATTACTCATAATTTGAGTTATGACACTTCTTAAGATTGCATACACATGCACGGTTTATCTTGAGAGTGAAACAAAATGTGTATATGACTATTAGTCTGTTTATCTACTACAAAACCAAACGAATACATGATTCATATGCCGTAAATATAAACGCCTTAGCACTAACTTATTTATAGAACACCCATATACCGAAAGGTTTACCCAAAAGTAACAAAGTTGATCAGGACCTTGCGGCCTCACTTTGGCTTCTTATATATGTCTCTGTTTCAAACCTACACTGCCATGAGGAACTGGCCCAGGATAAGGAAAACCGCCTCCGTAAACCGGGCTAGGGTTCCAAAACCCGTAATCTCCATACAACTTTGGTAGAAAGCTCTTGGATTTCACCTTATAGGACGAATCTAAATCTTGAGATGATGAAGATATGGAAGTAGAGAAAGAGGGTCTTGCCATTACGGTCGAGATGATGATAATAACAAGGGTCATTATGAGAAACATAGACATGCTAGAAACATGAGGAAACATAATCAAAACACTTAGGATGTGCATGATGCTCCTATCTTTTCTGAGCTATTTAAAACCAGGTTAGATAGAGGATTACAGCCCATGTCCTGTTTTAATATTTAATTATTTTGTATAATTATGAAATTAACTTGTTTATATCAAAGGTGTAAATGAAGAGAAAGCTTTTGAGGATTCAATAGCTGTTTTTGGTTATCACGTCATATGAATGAAAAGGATCATGGGGTTTGCATGTACTTTGTTGTTTATACAATTGAAAACGAAAATCACATTGGTTACTAATTAGTTCACCTCTTTGATTGGACTCTTTTGAACGTAGCAAAAGGCCCAGTAGTATGATAAGGCCCACGTTTGATTTTGACATAGCGCTAAATTTCTTTCGAGGTTTATTTTTTGGTTTGCCTTAGCTCTGAGAGTCATTGACTCAGGAGTTGCGATTTAGGACCAACCAACGCTGAAACATAAACCCTCATAGCTCACTGTCACTGCACCAGCCAAGTATCGAGAACCCGGGACTGTATTGTGGTAGGATACTACCACCACTAGTGCTACGTGTTCTCATATTTTTATTTTTATCACTTTCACTTTTTTCCTGGTTAATGTTTACATTATTTTATTTATAAAGCATAATGTTTTTTCTTTAAAAAGTTTTAACCAAAGTTATTTTCAAAATTATAAAACCAACTATAGTGGAATTTCTTTTTGCAGTTTCTTAACTTCCTTAAAAATATAATAATATAATTTTTACAGTTTATCACCACTTAGCCAATATGAACTTGGGTTTTGTTTATGGTTACATGATGGGTCCTAATAGATGATCGGTCCATCTTTTGGCATTAGTCGGAAAGTATTCTAAACTCGAATCAGACTGTATGGTACGTTTTCTGGCTCCTCCACTTTGTGGTATTAATTTTGTTTTTCTCGGGCCGACCGGATCATCCGGTAAGGTTTTTTTTTAAAAAAATGTAGTAATATTTTCTCTTAAGTATCTATACTATTAAAAGTAAAGGCACCCTTGAAAAATCGACTGATGAAAGTTGTGTGCAACCTCATTAATGACATTTTGGTAATTTATTTTTTGATCTTACATATATATATATATATATATATATATATATATATATATATATCAATTGTTACAAATCATATCACATATTAAATATACCTGATTTATTCTTTCTCTTCCCATTAATTATTCTAACCATATTTCATATTATATTTCGTACACTTATATTGTCTTATAAACCTTATATTACACGATTTCAATCCTTATATTGACTACATTATAATTTTTTGGTTGATATTTTTTGGTATATGTAACATATATCAACTTCATAAACTTATATTACTCTAACCATGATATGATGCTATATTTCATATATTAATATTTTCATATAGCTGTACTACATCTTATATTTCAAATACTATACTTTATAAACTTATATTACTCTAACCAAGATATGATGCTATATTTCATATATTAAGATTTTCAAATAGTTCTACGACACTTTATATTTCAACGACTATATTTTATAAACTCATATTACTCTAACCATGATATGATGCTATATTTCATATATTAAAATTTTCATATAGTTGTATTATACCTTATATTTCAAAGACTATATTTTATAAACTCATATTACTCTAACCATGATATGATGCTATATTTCATATATTAAGATTTTCATATATCTGTACTACACCTTATATTTCAAAGACTATATTTTATAAACTCATACTACACTTTATATTACATATATTAAGACTTTGTTATAGTTGTAGACATTTGTTAATGAATTATATTAGATATTGTTTATATCGACATTTTCATGAGTTCTCTTCCTATATCAAACATTTTTCATATGTCTCACTACTTTTATCATTTATTTCATACTTCACAACCATTTCAAGACATTTGAGAATAGAGAATCCATTCAAATGTCCTTCATTTCATTTTTTTCTCCATTTTAAGCGCTTTTGAGTATGGAATCCATCCAAATGTTCTTCATTTCATGTTTTTTCTTCATATATGAAATATGTTTTCATGTCTAACTAAATTTACATGTATTTATAAACCATAGTTAGACGACATATAGTGATATCAAATATGTCTATATATCATCATTCTATGGTGACATTTAATGGACGAGATACGTTTTGTTAAGAAAATATTGCAAAAACTATTTTCTATAATTATCTTCCTACTAAAATAAATAAATTGCTTCATCTACAAGTTTATAAATTAACCACAATCAATATCGTGGTTAGTTATTCTTTGTTTGGATTCCATAAATTTCGGTAACTTACTGTTGTTGTATTACCATTAACTCTTAAACTTTAAACTTCCTAACTAATTCAAAATATCTTCAAATAATATTCCTTATTCCTCGAAAGAGATAGTTTTTCAAATCGTCTAAATATTTTTCCCTACATTTGCGTAACCTAAATTTATATCGTCCATACCTATTATAAATATGGCCTCTCTAATCACTATATTCATCATTCCTTGAAAAACCTAAAACAAAAATGGCGAATAATTTGCAGTTGTCTTTCTTAAGCGATATAAAACCAAGGAAGATTGCATGTCGCATCCAAGTCAAAATCCTTCATACATGGAGACATTTCATGAAAGACATATGGGAGACTATGGAACTAATCTTTTGTGATGCAAATGTAAGTTTATCATTTTGTGTAGATTTATGATTTAGATATCTTCATTTTGTAAGAGTTTAACCTAAGTGATAATGTTTTTTTAAAAATATATAGGGAACTAAGATCCATGCCTCGTGTAACAAGACTTACATTCCTGAAATGACAAAACATATTCATGTGTATGGAGGAATATTGATCGTTTTAGTGTGTATGCCGCTGGTGGATCATACAAATCAACTCAGTATAAGTATCGCAGGTCAAAATCTGATATGTGTTTCACTATCTTGGCCATGGACCCATCCAAACGCGGATCAAAATGTAATATGCGTTTTAATTCTTCATACTCTCAGAATACTTAATTTTTTGATTCTCTGTTCAACCACAAATTGAGTCGGTTATGCAAAACTCATTGTAAGAACCCTACTAAAATGTTAAATCTACATCAAATCTCGCATATAAGATTATCATATAATAAAAATAGATCATTTGATACATTTTATTATAAGCAAAACAAAACCCGCGCTTCTCAAGCGCGGGTCAAAATCTAGTACTTATTAAACCATAACGCACGCATTAATAAATACTTCTGCTATTACATAATTTTGTTTGTAAGTTATGGTATTTATTTACAAAGGAATTGTCTAATTTTTTTACTCGGAGCTGGTCAAGTTCAACTCTGGAATACGTTTACCGTTTCATTTATGATTTTCCCTAATTACTGCACTATCTATACTATTAAAGCTGAAGTACAAAAATTAAGTGTTTGGAAACATGAGTAAGAAGATTTTAAAAATTTGTTTGGAAACATAGATAGCATACAAATCTAATGGGCTTATTTATTAAACTAAATATTATTGCGGCCCAAAGTACCATTATTATTGTTTTTGGGTTTTCTATCATTGATATTATTTTATTTCTGAAAATTATTTATACATATATATACTCGTGTTTTAAATTTATTTTAAATAAATCAAGAATAATATATATATTATTTATATAATTTATATATGACTATTGTTATAAGTTTTTAACAGTGATATACTAGCATTCCAATTCTTCATTAAAAATTAACTTAAAATTTTGACTAAATTGTTAAGTATATATAATTTTGCACCAAATTTAGTCAAAAAACTTTATAAACTATTATTAAAATGTTTACGGGTCACAACATTTTACTGACGCCCCAATTACACAATACAGTGATGAAATACAATGTTTAAACAATATACTATTACTTAGTAAAATTGGAACCATAAGATTGCAATTTTTGAAATGTTTATGTATACCATAAAAACAAAGACCCGCCCAGTCGGACGGGTTATGATCTAGTTTTATTTATTTCCGTTAGTTACAGAAAAAAATTATCAAATAAAATGTAATAAAAATATAAACAAGATTTATAATGAAACAATTTAAAGTATAAAATGCACTTAATAGAAAACATAGAAAGTATTATTCTTTGTCAGAATTTCCTATATATTAATTGAGAAACATTACAATATCTTTTGGTAACCACATGTCATCATGAGAATATTTCTCAAATTTATTAGAGAAAATGTTGGTTATATAAACATATAGTATATTTTTATTAAACTAATCATAAAACTATTATTAATGCTAAACAGTATTCTTTAAATAAAATTTATGAAATTACCTAATATAGTTATAATATATCTATGTCAATTAATTATTTGAATATGAAAGATTTGATGAAAAATTGTATAGTCTCTGTTCTTTTTGTTGAATTTATATTCTGCAAATAAATTAAAAAATAACATCAACTATATATACATATAATATTTTTGATTAATATTTTATTTTTTTGTTATGGCACGATACAAACAATTTTATAATTAATGAGTAAGAAATATCATTTAATAGATATTTAATTAGATGTATATATACATATATTTTTGGTGATGTTTAAATTAAACTAAATACCCACTAAAATACATAAATATTTAATTCCAAAATTTCATTGAACAAGTATTGAGAACTTAATGCTTTAATGACAAACTTTAAATTTAATTTTTTTCAACGATGATAAATTACTTAAATATTAAATCTCTCACGTTAAAAATGATGTTATCAATAGTTTTTAAAAAAAAAATATTTAAAAATATACAAATGATCATAAAACCATGTAAGTGTGAAATTTCATTTATTAGATATCTAAATTAAAAATATAATGTACATATATATATATATGTAAATTATAAATATGATTATTTTATTTACGTGCTCGATAAATTAATTGTATTTATAATGATTACAGATTTTCAATTATTCAATATATATATATATATATATTATATAAAAGACACAAAATAAAAAAATATAACATAAAATAATTTTTATATATAATTTTCTTCACGCGCATTTGTGCGGTATTAACCTAGTTTCAATTTATTGCTGATGATATTCTGAATTCCAACTTAACAATAACTGTTTATATCTATCGAGCAAAGCTTCTCTTTATGTATCTGATACTTTAATGTCAGAACTATATAACAAACCAAAAATGATATGTATTTGAACAGAAAAATGAATTAGACTTGTTTCGTTTCAAGAATTCATGATAAGGATTTTAAAGAAAAAATAACATGAAACAGACTTAATTTGTTTTCAGAATTCATGATATTTTAAGCACGTGTTAAATATTTTTTTAGCTTGCCATATGATCGTGCCAAATAAATGAGATTCAGTCAATGAGGGACACGCTTTGATCCAAATGTCTCCACTGTCTCCGTCTTGGCCACCAGAAAAATCCAAAGTATCCTCTACTATTTTTTCTCGGCATGTTCCAATAGTTATTTAATCTTATAATTTAATTTTTAAGATACTTTTATCATAATGGTGATTGAGTTTCATATTCATGCATCAACCCCACTATTTTGTCTACTCTGAACCATTAGACTTTATTCTTATTATATTCCACTGTTCAATTCCACCGGATCCAAAACTATCCTTAAACGTTAAAAAAAACAATTAACGCGTAAAACTTGAGTATATATCTAATTCGTAATAGTACGTTGTCCAAATGAATTTGAAAAAGTTCCAAATAGTGACTGGTCGCCGTGTATCAGGTGAGTCTACGCGGATGCATAACATATTTGATTTTTTCTATATATAATGTCAAATAATTGGGTATTTTTAGAAAGAACATATTTGGTTTTTTTAGAAAGAACATATTTGAGACAATTGGAAACAATTGAAATACTTTAAAATCAATCATGAATTGCCATACAAAAAGCTGCATTCCGTAAATATTCCGTATATGTTACAAATTTTACTGTTGATATATTTAGAAATCCTGACATAGTTACCGATAGACATAAAAAACATATTTTAGAGGTAATTTTAAAATAAATTAAGTTAAAACTACTTTCTATATTTCTAAATAAATATCATTCTATCATTTTTTGTTTCAAAATAAGTATCATTTTTCATTCCCAATACAATTTTTTACATATTATTTATTTCTTATCTTTTTAATTAACCAATATATGTTTTTAAAATTATTTTTATTTAAATAATTGTATATTAAATAAAGGTATATAGTATATTTGACCATTTTTTAATATGTGTAAAATATGTCTAAATGACACTTATATTGAAATGGAGGGTGTATTGTTTAAGTTTAACTAATAGTATTTGATAATTATCATGAAAACGTAGTTCTGTGAAGACCGAGTAGTTAATGGACTTATGGTCCATCCGCCAGAAAATTCCAAATGCAATTAAATAATTTGAAATTGTGAGGGGAAGAATCTATCAAAATACCGAAAGAAAGGTGGAGTAAATGCATTGAATCTGAAGTCTGAAGGTGGGAAAGCCGGGAAACCGGTAACACAACATAGCCCAACATTTTCTCTAGTAGTTTTGTTGTATTTCTCGTAATCCTAAAAAAAAAAGAATACTATCCCCTCTGTTTAATATCATATGATATTAGGCCAAAAAGAGAAATTTCTTTTGAACAGTAATAAAAAAAGTACACACAGAAATTTAAGAAACTTACTGTTATCTAAAAAAATATTTTTAAAAGTATAAATAAAAAATGACAACCAATTGTAGAACAAATTGAAATTATAAATGGTTGAACAATTTTTAATAAAGTTAAAATTTAAAATTAACATAGAAAGCTCAAAAAATATTATATTTTGAAACATGAAAATCTTCTACAACATCATATATAGTGAAATGAATGAAGTGATTAATAATTGGCTGCGATAACTATACAAAATATGCTTCTCATCAGTGTTTGTCCTCCGACATTTGTGCAGCCATGTGTCTTTTGTTTTATAACCCGATCTTTACGTTCCTTGGTCTATAACTCTATATACTAAGTATCCAAATATGTGTCCTTTTTTAAGCAACACCTAAGTAAGGAATCATGTTTTATTTGTATTTTAAATAGATGTGTGTTTTTAAATATGGTTTAGTTCTTCCAACTATTATTAGGGGTAAAGGCTGTGTACCTAAGCCATCACCAACTGCATGTGAGAGAGTTTGGGCACTTGCAAATTGCAATATTGAAGGGGTTGTTTTAAATATTATAAGAGTCTAGTTATCTCCTTAATTCTTAGTTAGAGTTCTAAGAACCACGGTGAAGCAAAAACATTCTAACATACCTTGTACTTAATAAGTATATACAGTTAATTTATCAAGTTTATAATATACTATATTATTATTAACTAAAAGTGTCTAGAAAACATAAAACATATACTTTTGGAATATATTTTTTTAAAGCATTTAACTTCAGAAACATAACGAGTATTACATCGTATTATTTAACTATATTATTTTAGTTTGTTAAAATAATATTACCTATTTTTTATTAATATTATTTATATAGATACCAAAAGTATCTGTGTTTCCAAAAAAAAAAAAAAAGATACCAAAAATATCTACTTTTCTGTTTCAAAATTATCCATGTTTTTAAATGGGTTCTAAAATATATATTAGTTACATGTTTGATGTGTTTTTATTTAATATTATTGATAGACTATAATTTTTAAGAAACTGAATTTATTAAATTTTGATTGGATAGAAGTTATGGGATGAAGTTAAACACAAAACAATGTATTCATAAATAAAACGTAAGATATTTCTCTAAATGTGTAAAAACTCCCAAACTTTAACTTACTATTAAAACAGAGGGAATGTGTGATTGTATTAAGGCTGGATCTTTTCCTCATGATATCTGGCGTATAGGCTATAAGAACTCAAAGTAAGAACTAAGTAAATACATATTTGTATATATTTTTTTTTTCTGAACCATGATTAAGAATAAAAAAAGATAAGAAGCTGTATCTATCATTGTTTTTCAAATATGTTAAATTCTTATTCTGGTATTGTATAACTTTTATCAAACGAATGATTTATTAATTTATTTGACTATTTTTATTAGAACATGTCCTAACTTGCTAAATCTACAGCAAAATTGGTAACTTCATATGTAACTTTCAATCGGTTTACTTATAGTATAAAATTATTTAAACATTCTAATCAATCTATGTATATTAATAAGAAAGTGATTTTATAAACTAAGACAATATATACTAATCAGTCCCGCCCTTAATCAGTTAATCTAAACAAATTTTATAATCTTTTTTTTTTTAAACAAATTTTATAATCATTCGGCACGTCGTGTCTGTTTGTAGTTTGCGTAGTACAGAGGAAGAAAATAATAATTGTCTTGCAGCAAAACGACATGTACCAAAATAAGCGCGTGGGCTCCTTCTCGATTTGCAGACCACGGCACGTAATTTTTTTTTTTTTAACAACTTAGCTTTATTAATAATATTGTCAAGTAATTTTACAAATACATACTACATTGTAATGAAAATACAACAAACAACATAGGTAAAATGATGAAATAAACAATATTGGGAAAAAAGACATCATAAGCCACCAATATAAAAATAGAACTATCCTAGAAATAGATAATACTAAACTAAATTAAACTTAATTCAGAAGGCTAAATCAGTGAAACACAATCAACATACATAACTGAAAGAGAATTTCACGCACGATGTTTAATTTTGTCTGCCATCGTGTTCTTTGTTTTTGTATGTGATTAACATAATTAATTTTTAAAAATGAAATTAATACTCAACAGATAAATTATTGTCCACTAAAAAAAAGCAAAAACAAAAAAAGTCCTAGAGAGAGAAAAAGCCTCTTCACTCACTTTCCCCGTTCGTGTCGTGGAGACAAAGACAACATGCCACGTAGTTCGATAATAATTACGACATACTGCCACTCAGCCGCCTTCAGTCAAAACCGCGGTTGACTGTTTCTGTCCCTTCTCTCTCCTCCTTTATAAATTAAAGTCTCTCACTTCTCACAATCTTCACAGCACAAACACACCTCAAAGTTAGCATTCCTCTTTTAGTTTAAATCTAACAAAAAAAATTTAAGTTTTGTCTAAATGGCGCCGACAGCTAAAACTAACGGCGGAGACGGCGGAAACAAAGAAAACCGTTACAGAGGAGTTAGAAAGAGGCCATGGGGTCGTTACGCCGCGGAGATCAGAGATCCGACCAAGAAAACACGTGTCTGGCTCGGTACTTTCGACACACCCGAAGCAGCGGCACGTGCCTACGACAAAGCAGCTTTTCAGTTCCGTGGCGCTAAAGCCAAAACCAACTTCCCTCTCCCTTTCTTCGTCGCGGACAACGAGAGCCCTAGCCAGAGCAGCACCGTGGAGTCACCTTCCTCGATCCCTGATCTCAATCTTGGATCCATCTCTTCCGTTGATTCGAGATTTCCTTTCCCCAAGATTCAGGTCAAGTCAGGGATGATCGTGTTCGATGAAGAGTCGGCGAGGAGTGAGTCGGACTCTTCGTCTGTGGTGGTGAATCTAATCTCAGAGAGACGATCAGGAGTGTTCTTGGATTTGGATCTTAATCTCCCTCCCAAGCCTGAGAACTAGTTCTTGAATTTTATATGTTATATAAATCGAAGTATTAGTTATAAACTTATTATTAAGTTGGTGCCAATTTTTTTTTTTTTGGTCAGCAGAAAGTTAAAAGTAATTTTTAGTGTTGAGAACGTTTTGTTCTCTCATCAGGTGTTGTTTATCAGTTTTATTGTAATTTTTCTTTTTAATTTTCTGATCAACAAAAATAATAAATTTGTTTTGGCATCAATCTTTTGACTTTTAACGTTTATTGTTATTTTGTCGGCGAACACATGTCGTTCATTTTTAAAGATAATAGTCGGTATTCAATTGACAAAAATCAAAAGAAAAATACTTTATTTAGTTTATTGGGAGGGATTAGGACAAAAAAGATAATGGGACTATTGGTCAAAAATAGAATTTGGATGCCTGTTAAACGTGACACTAATAGAATATACAACTACCATGTTATCTTTGTATATATGTGATAGCATAAGCTTACATATCATATGCGTAAATCTGCTGCTATGAAATCAAAGAAGAAATGTAGGTAAAGTTTGTTTCTCAAAAATGAAAGCTAGGCGTTATCAGGGTAAACAGATATAACTAGAATTGGAGATTGTGATTTTGTAGTTAGTCTGAGCAGATATATGAGTTATGTTTTTTTGTTGGTTAAAAGTTAAAACATATATATGAGTTTACCGGTTGAAAGTTTGTGGCTTCTTCCAAGTGATTTCTTTGTCTCCAAAGTTTGGGTAAACTTCTCGGATGTTTCAGTAAAAGTTTAAAACTGGTAGTATTAAAGTTATAACTTTACTGATTTCATGTTATTCTTAAATAAGAATTTTTTTTTTTTCTTAAATGAGAATTAAACTAAAGATTCCTTTCTGATTTTATTTTGAGTTTTTGTGATTTCTGTTAAGAGTTTTTCTTTTGTAGCTTCATGTTAGTGTGATTATCTGTTTGTCTAGTTTGCAGAGCTTGGTCGAAAGTTTCTGTTTCCTGTGTGTTTATTTTCTTGCTTGTATTTTCGTATTTGTAATTTTGTTTTTCCCTCTTTTTTTTTTTTTTTGGTCAAAATTTTGTTTTTCCCTCTTATTTGGATTGTTGACTCAAAGACATTATTGTGTGGACTATATCTCATATGCTTTAAAAAATACATCAAAAAGGTATGTTGAAAGAGAAATATACAATATCATTTTGTTCACAAAGATCATCTTTGACAAGTAACTGGGAATTATCCCTTGGTTACTTCTTTTCTTTAATAAGAATGTAATCTATTTAAATATGGAATGATTACAAGCTATGAAGTATGCGATTTTTTTAAGAAAGTACTAGATTTTGACCCGCGATTAAAAAGCGCGGATTTATTTTTGAAATAAATCAAATTCTTCTAAATGAATTTTTATATAAGATAATGTATATGTTATACATTTTTTCAGGTGAACCGAATCGTATCAAACTGAAAAAAAAAACAAAAATTAAACCAAATTTCATAAATAATCGATCATATCATATATTTTCTGGAACCGAAAAATAGAAACTGAACCGAGAACCAAATGGCTATTTAAAATTTTTAAAATATAAATTATATACCTATAATATTAATTATATATAATATTTAAATACTAAATATCCTGAAATATTATTTAAACCAAATTAGGCAAAAATAAATTACCCGAATATTTTCTATTCAAAATATTGAAGATATTCAAACTATCTGATATTTAAATTGTAGGATAGTATACATTTAAAATTAAATAAAAACGTATCATATGCATAGTTAGAATTTGTAAAATNAATAAACATCTATACTATTAAAATCTCCAACCCATTTTATTTTTATATATACAATTAATCATTTAGTTCATGTATAAAAATGTAATATCATATTTTAATAATTGATTGCTTGTAATTAACTAAATCAATGTTTCGTAGTTGAATATTTGACACCAAAGCTTTTTAACTTCCAATTTATGTAAAAATATTAAATATATTAAAGTATATAGAGATTTATTGTTAGAGTAATTATGTAGTAGATTATGGAAAGTAATAAATGAGTTCACTTGAATTATAAAGTATTTATATAGTTAGAGAAATAGTATTTATATAGTTAGAGAAATATAAGGGAAGACCAAAAAATGTTAATCTAATGAAAGGGTCCAAACAACTTGTATAAGTAGATTTTTTAGGACTCCTTCTGTTTTAATAGTATTTATACGGTTCGAGTTTGTATACCCTAAGCTAAAACTGGAAACAAAGGAAGAGCCAAGTTATGTGTTCAAAAAAATAAAAATAGAAAAAATAAAAAGGAAGGCCAAGTTAAGATTGACTTGGATTGAGCATCGCCCCACGCACACGACCATCGTATCTGCCTTGTGCGTGGTGTATTGAAAGGTTCTTCGATACTATGGAAGACAAAAAAAATATATTTCGATTCATTCATCTTTGATGCAGGTAACACACAGAACAGAATAATCACTGAATAAAACCAAAATTCAAGAGAGTTCGTGTTAACTTTAAGAACTAACATATTGGTGTTTGCTTTAAACCGTAACAATGATTTTTTAAGTTTGCACACATTCTTTTAGATAAGTTTTTTTTTTTGCTGAATAACTTTTTATTTTGGAAAAACGTTCGTATATATACATTTTCTAAAATATTACTATAATGAATGGAATGCATTGTGGGCATGCATTTGTTGAGCTTGCCCCCTTTCTGCTGCAGTAGCTTCGAATAGATGATTAGTAGTGAATTTCGCTACATGAGCGAAAGTTTCACTGATCATCCTTCTCCATCAATTGGATGATTTTCAAACAATTAGTACAGTTCCATCAGCATTATATTTCAGTTTATTAACCTTTTTGCTTGCAAGTACAGCTATTCTTTATAATAAACTCTTCCAAATCCTAGGTTTTGTTAACTTCACTTGACACCATTCCCTACGTGAGGTTATAAAACTTTACATTTGTCATACTGTTATTAGCATTTAGCTAGGGTTTAAGGCACCACTATGATACTACTATCTTATGTCATCAAAAAGTGCCAAAACAAGGTTTTATCGGAGCAGATGAGTCGGTAACTGCCAATGCGTTGCCAACTACCAAAAAATGAATACTGAACTTGGACCTCCATTGCGTTGTACGAGATAATAAATGAATACTGAACTTGGACCGCCATTGCTTAACTGCCCACTAGATCTTTTGGCCCATACATGTACATTGATTTTCAAATTATTTGTCTGAATTTTCTCCACAGCTTTCACTCCAGTACGCAAAAGACAAACAACTTCCTGTCATGTGTCAACAATCAATCCATTTTTCAGTTAGCTTAGTAACAATATGAGATATTAACATTTCCGTCTAGGAATTTTTAGCTAAGTGATTTTTTTTTAAGAGACAAGGCTTATAGGTAATTTTATGAGTACCAAATACAGCAATACTTCATAGTTTAAACTCAAAACCACGGATTGTTTTTTTCTTGGGACTCCTATTAGACATATCTTCGAACCACCTAGGGCCTATCTATACACGCAAACCGCATGACTTCGAAGCACCTAAAAAATTAGATGGTCGGCCACTGCCGCCACACTTTGTAGTAATTTAAACAGCACTAAATTGTAATCAAAGAAACTTTTTGACTTGTCAAATAAGCATCACATATTCACATGGATAATCGTTGTAACTATAAAAAAAAAAACGAACTTTGATGATTATATCCAATGTTGGGTTCAGTTAAGTTGATTACCATTTGTTCATTGGCAGGTCTATTATCCTAAATTTTTATAATAAACCGAAATAGATTGATATATTCATTTCATATATAATATGATGCTTACTTTTAAGCATAAAAGAAATATGATGATTACGTAACGAAGCAGTTCCTTCATAAATAATATTTTCTCATAAAAGTAAATGAAAGTATATTAATTACAAGCTGATAATAGATTTATTGTCCGTAAGTGAAAAATGGCAGTCCAAACTCACACGCTTGCTCTGTTTGATTTCTCTCCTACCACTAGTCTCTATCTCTTTTGTCTGTTTCTCTCTTTCTCAGTCTTTTGTCGTGTTACATAGGCGCGTGAGTCAAACAGAACGCAGTGCTTACACAAGTCAGTCCGTATTCCACGACACGGCATAGATAGAATACGATAAGATTAATTAAAAAAAACCCTCGAAACCGACATAAGCGACGGTCGTAACAATTCACAACATGAAATTTACCTTCTTTATTAGATCCATTTTCCTAATCCTTCGAAATAATGTTGCTTAGTCAGTGTTAACTAACTAAGAAGTTTCTTTTTTTTTTTTTTTTGCCGCAACATGAATCATAACAGTCAAACTCCAATGTCTTACATAACCTAAACGAAAAGGACAAAATGGAAACTACTCAAACTACTCTAAAAAGAAATTAAAGTTAAAAACAATAATAGTTCCACCGAAAAGTGCTCAAAACGACGCCGTTTCGTAAAGTCAGCAGAACGGCGCAGACGTTTTTACAGCCAAAGCGGCGGCGGCTCGTTAAGATCAATGGCTAAGCCACGTCTCACCGTCGCGGAGGAAGGAGAAGGACTCATTATCGGAAACTCAAACACTCGAGAAGATGACGTGGCAACTTCAGGCGATATGGCGAAGCAAACCGGCGCTTCCGTAGAATCGGAGGCTTTATCGTTGAGCACTCCGGTTCGAAGAAAGATACGGTGGTGGTGGTGAGTGTCGGGGATGGGGAGAGGAGGAGCAGGGAACCAGTGGTGTTGGTTGTGGTGGTTATCCGCGGCGGCGGCGGTGGCGGAGGGAGCGGAAGGGATGTGGTTAAGGTTGAGAGAGAGAGGAGAAGGGAAGTTAGTCTTGGCTTTGATACCACGGAGGAAACGAGCGGCGCCGTCGTAAGCGAGAGCAGCTTCTTCGGGAGTGTCGAAAGTGCCTAACCAAACCCTAGTTTTCTTCCAAGGGTCTCTAATCTCTGCGGCGTAACGGCCCCATGGTCTCTTCCTTACTCCTCTGTAATGCACCTCTCTCGCGCATGTCGTCGTCGACGCCATTTTGTTAAGAATCTTGGAGAGATGAGAGAATATAGAGAGAAGGTGGAGTTAAGAAGAAAGTGTTTTTGTTTTGTTGACTTGTTTGACCCAAATGAGAGGAGAGTTTAAAGGAAGAATATAGGGGGTGAGGTCCACTTAAGACACCCGTAATCATCGGCTTTCTTTGACGATTATAGTAATAAGTTAAGTAAAAAACAATTAAGTATTTTTGATGTCTAGGATGGAGGTTTTCTCTGGCGTTTTAAAGAATCATCAAGCACCGTTCGATCTTTTTGCTTGTTTGGCGATGTGACTGTGGTATGCTGAAAGATTGTTACACGTGGGGTGTTCTTGCACCAGAATATACTGTTTAACAATTGAATGTATTGAAAAAGGTATATACATGTATATTTTACAATAAGGATATTAATAAAGTGTTTTAACGGCGGACGAAGGATGATGTTTCCAATCAGCCATGATAGAATGATCTTGGTTGCCTTTATTTATACTGTATATTAACTAATTGATTTGGTGCCACACTGTTGAACATTGTTAAATAAGATAGCGCCGTATTAAACTTTGCCCAAAAACAACAGTAAAATTTGTAATATCTTCATACAAATATTAAGGGAAAAGGTATTATATATGATATATTTGACTTCGTGGTGCATTTGAAACTGTTGTATATAATACAAATGATATGTTTGATGGTATATTGATCGATGACTTTACTATGGCACATTATAATACCTAGTCACCCATTACCTACCTACCATACTACCAGAAAAGTGCATCATTCAAAAGTCTATTAGTTTATTTTTAGGGACAGAACAAGAATATCTAATTAAAACTATGTTGTGGTTGAACACACAAGTCTTTGCACTGCGTAAGTAAACTATGTTGTGGTTAAAGTTTGCACAAACGTAACCATTTTTAACATTTGATGAGATCATGGGAAACCTAAACTAAAATGTTGTATTTGAAAAATAAACATAATAATTAAAATTATAAAGGTAAACCTAAACTTAGTTCAAATTCACTGATTGTAAAACAACCTTGATGCTTTTCTCACGGGAACTATTAACGAATCAGAACCAATATTTATAAAGAATAAAAATATCAGTATATACGAAGAAGAAAGATAATGGACCGCCTCTTTGACTGGACCTCTTCATAGGGATGCTGACGTAATTCCTACTGTTTTAGCCCTCACTCTATTTTGGACTTCCTTTTATGATATTGGCACCCATATTTATGATGTGATTTTGATGCAAGAGGATGAGACTACAATAAGATCATTAAATAAAGTAGCTTGACACAACTACTCTCTATGTGTAGCTCTGACTGATTATGTTTCTCTTTTCGTCCAACTCCCAAATTAATTAGCCATTTGATGTAACCGCTGATAAAAGTGATAAAAATAGTAAATGGGTTTTCTTTTTTCATTATATAATCTTTATAGAATTAGAGTTAATTTGCGAAAGTACCCTAGTTCTCACCTTCAATTAGGGAACTAACCCTGATATGACAGTTTCTTTTACTCGGACCATTTTACCTTTCCGTGTCTCGATATACTACTCGCTTAGGCTCACGCGCCTACGGCTAGCTGTGTCAGAGCGCCTCCCACGCTTGTTTTATTTCCCGTCAACCTTTTGGTTTTCCAGTAAAATCTTTTGCATGTTTTATATTTTGAAATTTGAAATTATTCATTAATTACAGTAACTGTAAAAATTTATCCCACCACTCTGAATAGTAACCTCCCTCTGCAATTCAACTTCCCATCTGCCCACTACTTTCAATCTTCGGTTTCAAACTGAAAAACTTCCAACTTTCTTCTTCCAAAACCTCCGATGTCCAATCTCAGCCTTCCTAGACGATATTTTGCTTGTGGTGATGAACCAGTAGGCGACAGAGTTGTCTCTTACCACAAGTATCGAAGAACAGAGCAACTAATTGAAGCCTTAGACGAGGACGAGTTAGCATTTTTCCACCGAACTCAATTCTCGAAGGTCCTCTCTCTAGATGATAATCCTCCATTT